TCAAAAAGCATACTTAGTAAGCCTGTTGGTGGATGGAATTTTGATATCCTGTAAAGATACCTTCATCCTAGTGTGACTAAACAAATTGCTCTAGTGCAACCTCCTAAAAAATATAGCGAAGATGATATTATTATTTGAAGGCCTTTTAGTGATGATAACTTCTCTATTAAATCTTCCTATAAAGCTTTAAAGGCTCGACAGGCTCAGGATCATTCTGACATATGGTACAAAATTTGAAAATGGCCTGCCTGTGAGAAAATTAAATATTTTCTTTAAAAGGCGGCTTGGGATCGACTTTAAATAAATGTCTTGCTCCTCGATGGGGATAACATTCAGCAATGCACTTGTCCACTTGGTTGTAACTCTCCTATTCTATTCATATTTTACGTGACTGTAAAGATGTTAAAGAGGTTTGGGAAAAATTAGTAAATCCATCCAAATATGATATTTTCTTTTCCTCTTCTGTGTAGGATTAGATAATTTGAAATGCTAGAAATGAAGCAATAAACCTGTCTACAAGAAGATTGTCCTAGCAGAAACTTTTTGCCCATGCTTGTTGGAACATGTCGAAAGCAAGATGCAAAAAAGTTTACCATGAAGATACAAATGTGAAAAATGACATCACTTTCTCTAGTACTAACCAAATTATCAATGACATGAAGCTTCAAAGTTGATTTTCTTAATAGAACCAACTCCAGACATGAGGCGAGATGGGAACCACCAAAACTTGGATGGACCAAACTTGATGTTGATAATTTGGTTAAGCATAATGAAGCAACTACTCGTGGAGGAATTATTATAAATAACAATGAAAATTGGACCAAAGGGTTTAAAAAGAATCTTGGTTATCAATCCAGCATTATAGTCGAACTGATAGCAATTTTGGAAGAGCTTAACATATGCTGAGATAATAGGATTACTAAAGTGAATGTTTGTTCCGACTTTATGAAGGCCCTTTCCTTCATTGAAAGTGATTTCGACCAAAGCCATCCTCTTGCACCAATTTTAAGGAACATCCATAACCTTACAATGAGAAACCAAGAGATCATTTTTGATCACGTCTACAAAAAAGTCAACCTGTGTGCCGATTTTCTAACCCATAAAACTTTGAGGGATCATTTCGATATTACTTTTTTTGACATATCACCTATTAACTGTAGAATTTTTATAGCTTCCAACATGACCTAATTTTAATCTCCTTGTATGGTTTTTTACCATGGTCGTGTATTCAAAAAAAAAAAAAGAGGCATAGATACGGAAATATTATATCAGTTCTGTTTTTGATTTTGGGCCTTTGGTGAGACATGCGGTAAATTGTGAGGCCCATCATGGAGAAGGATCTTAAGGAACATGTTCTGTTTTTGTAAGGGGCCGAATCAATATGGGCCATAACCCAATACCCATCTCAGTAGACTTTCTCTTTAATTGTTTGTTTGTTTTTTTTTAAATCCAGATTTCAATAGTCTAACACGAAACAGATATTATACATGCATTCAGATTTTGATATAAAAACATTGTTTGTCGTGGATATGCAATTATCTCTATAAATATATATATTTTTTGGCCAACATCTCCAGAAATATATTTTGAACTTCAAAGCATGTCAAGTTCCTTGTAAATTTCTGAATTCAATCCATTTAAACTTTTTATTTATAAAGAAAATAAGGAAGAAGAAGAAGGGTGAAAAAAGCAATGCTCAAATTCATTAATTTAGTAATGATGAAACAAATTTATTAATTTAGTGATGAGTAGAAGCTAGGTTGGATAGTCAAAGTCAAACACTGTACTCAGGCCAAAAAAAGTCAACGATAGTCATCGGTTTCAGGAATTTAGTTGGGACTTGGGATAGCTCATTACCTCGCATTTTTCTTAAAGCATTCATCAAATAAATGTACGGATGTACTCCACAAATATTTAAACATTAAAAAATTTTAAAAATAGGATTATAAATGTAGAATTAATTAACTAAATAATTTATAATTAGATATTAAAATTAAAATTTTAATAACAAAAGTTGTTTGGTGATTACTCTTTTTTTTTATTGTTATTCTACAAGCAACGAACATGGATTTGTTTTAATGAAATATAATTGATAATTTTTTTTTCTTGTGTTTGTCCCCTTAAATATGTATATATATATATATAGAGAGAGAGAGAGAGAGAGTAATAGAGAAGGTGGGGTGTTTCTGAAACAAGTTTGTAGCTAGAACCAAGTCTTAGTTTCAAACTTGTTCAAAGAAAAGCTGCTACGTACTATTCAATGGACAAAGTCAGAGGCTATAAAGAGGGAATACAGAAGCCACTTGGATTGGGACATTTCACTTTCCAACTACATCAATAAATAACAAGTTTCCATGCTCATTTATATCATTTGGTTCTTTTTTTTTTCTTTTTCTTTTTGGCTGATGTGGATATGTTATATTTATGTAAATCTGGCCCCAAAAATAATTGGATTATATAAATACCACCTCATTTTTTAAAATAGATTGTCATGTATTTAACATTATCAACTAATTCAGATTTAAGATGGATGGGACCCAAGAAACAAAACACAAAATATAATTGACAAGGTTGATTGATCAAATTTGTTTGGTGGACAAATATCTGCCAAAATACTAATTAAAAAAAATGTGATTTAAAACTGCATATGGTGTTTCCGTTAAAATCAAAGGTGATTCATTTCTCAACATGTTTAACATGCCATGAGATCTCACCTAATAAGATAGAGCTTCCTTCCCATTCTTATCTTCCTTAAAAAAAAAAAGATAAAGTACATAATTCATAGATATTTTTTCTCCCAAAAAATAAAAGATAACATTTATAGATTGAATTTATAATTAAAAAAACAGTTTAGAGATGAGAATTCATTGTTTAACATTATTTCCCAACCACTCCCCCAGTGCTGACCTGTCATTAATCAATTACTGATTGATTCTTCCGCGTTAGTTCAATAGTTTTCTAGAAGGGAAACGGCGGCTCCTTCCTGATGCCATCAATTATTCAATTTGCTTAATTTAATTAATTCACAATATTACTCCAAGTCATCATTATGAAAACTGCCATATATCGGTTCTTGTGATTTATCTTTAATTAATCGCAGCTAATTATTGTTAATTAGATACTAGCTAGTTAAACAGAGATTGGTACTGGTGTGAATTCAATAAACTATGTATGGAAGCTGACATTTAATTAATCCTATGAGATCTCATGTCTTGTTTGTTGACAAATAACTTAAAAAATTACCTAATTAATTGAATTATATGTTGAATAGCGACAAAGATTTGTTGAAAAATAATTCATGAACCGAGTGTGTGTGAGGAACTGAGATCATGCACCCTACTTATATATGTTAAGATTTTTTTTCTTGCCAACCAATATCGAGAAATTGTTTAACTGTACACTCCTCCATTTTCAGATGAAAAGGATATACTGATACTTTGTAGATTTTTTTTTTACTGCAAGTTTTTCTAAAAGCTTGAGCTATTAATATTTTATTTCTATTATTAGAGATTCGAGTATGCCATGTTAATATTTTTAGAAACGAACCAAATATTAAATAAAAAATATCAGCGATTCACGGTTCGCATGGTTCAACCGAGTTGAACTAATTATCAAATCAGTAACATAATAGTTAAATTAAAAAATCATATACGTATATAATAAACAAAATATAAGAAATAAATATAAAATTACTACTTAACTTAAAAATAAAATTAAATATTTTAAATTTATCATAATTTAATAAGTCATATAATACAACATGACATCAAATAATTAAAAAAATTAATCATTTTTTTAAAAAAATTGATAAAAAGGAATTTTTTTAAACAATTTAATTTTTAAAAATTGGATCCAGTTATTGGTTTGATCTCAATTTTTGGTATGACCATTACTCCAAAATGGCCTAACCCAGCTCAACTTTCAAAATACTTTTTACATGTTCAATTAAAATCTAAACCAGTCAATGATAAGACCGTCCGATTCAATTTGATTTTTTTAATCACTGTGCTCTACACTTATCTATTTAGACAATTTATGTATCATAAAGAATTCAAACTTCATCCATTAAGCATAAACTAGATTCTAAACAATTTATCTTTAAATGCTTAGAATTTGATATCCTAATGTGGTCTTGAATCAGAGTAATTAACGAGACATTACCTGAATTTCAATTGAGGCGCGATAAGCTTAGTCACTTTTGAGTTCAATGATTACATTTGAAACAAATATATAATCAATCAATAGATACTTAAATTTACAATAAGTTATAGTTTTCATAAATTAAACATTTGTTATAGCACTACTTGATGTGTCTTTTTTATTACAAAACCTTATTTAGCAAATAAAATATCGAGTTAAATGGCAAGTTGACTCTTAAATTATAGATATCCAAGCGATTGGAATTATAATTTTTTTTTTGGTGCAGTGTTATCCTTCAACTTTTAAAAATGATATATTTTGGAGCCTATTGTTAATAAAAGTTAATTTTGATCATTGATTGACAAAAAATAACAAAAAACAAAAATTATAAAAAGAACCTGAAAATTTAAAAAAAGATAAAAAAATTTTATTAGTTATTTTCTGTAATTTTTGAAGCTATTTTCTGTCATTTTTTTATCAATTGATTGTCAAAGTTAATTTTTATTAATCATTGAAGTCTAATTATATTATTTTTAAAAGTTAAAGAAAAACTTTATACCAAAAATGAGTTTAAAATTTTAAATACTGCTCAATCTATAATTTAAGAGCTAATTTACTTAATTATCTTAAACAATTTCCATTGTAAAATACTTGTTCACAAAAAGACCCTCGCAAAACATTGCATAAGGTAATGACGAATATAATCTAAATTTAAATCTAAATTTTTTAAGAAAAATTTTAAAAAATGGGTAATGGAATAAAATTTGTCCGATGGTCAAATTAAGGAAAAGGAAAAGGACAAGAACAAAAGTAACCTTCAATCCTCATCAAACAGCCAATTCACTCGGTTTCTTTTACGTATCGCACAGTTTTGGATTTTTTTTCAAAACCAATCCTTTTTATCTCTCACTTCCTCCTCGCTCGTCTTTCCCTCCAACGCACACCAATCTTTCTCTCGGTTTGGATTCTTCTTCTTCTTCTCGAAACCAGCCAACCATCTTCATCTTCCTCATCAGACTGAAGCAACAATGGAGTTAGTGATTTCAAGCTCTAAACTTGTCTGTGTTTTCGCATTGGGATTCTTCGCTTTGAATGCCTTCACGCACTGTGGATCCAACGCTCAACAGATACCAGATGATGAAGGTACTCTAATTTCTTAACCTTAATTCTTCGATGGAATTTCTTTTCCCTTTCCCTTGGTTTTCTTGTTCTAATTCCTCTGTTTGATTTCCCAAACGAGTAAGCACTGGAAAACTAATCAAGTAACTGCTATGAAATTCCTGAACTGGTTCCTTTATTTTTCCCTCCAGAAAATGAACCAACAAGATTCCAGTTGTTGAAAACTACATAGCCATTTCATTTTTTCTTTATTATTATTGATTATTGATTGGGATTTTCATAGAGAGTGGACGACTTTGAGTATATGATTTTCCATTGCAAGATCTGTTAGATTAGACAGTGATCAAAACTTTCTTCTTCATGGGGTTTCTTCATCTTTATCTCACTTGTGGAGAAGATTTTTTGCAAAAAAGAAAAAAAAAAACTTTTGTAGAAGAATTTCTACCTTTTTTTCATAAAAAATTATTGATCATATTCTGGCACTGCCAGATTCCTGAATTTCTGTGTCATTTTTTAATTCACTATTTCCTTTTAATAATTAGTAATATATTTTCCCTCTAACTAGTCATGGGCTTAATTATTACCTGTGACTTTTGGAAGGTTTCAGTGATTTGAATAAATTAAAACGAACCTTGATTGTTAAATTTTTAAGTTTGGCTTCACATGATACTTCTAAGAGGGACCACCTCGTGCATTGTTTGAGGAAAATTCACTTAATGACTCAATTTCTTTTAATAATACTTAAGAAATCTTAAGAAATTAAAATTTCTTTAAATGAGTATAGAAACAAGTTCTTATTAATATTTTCAAAAAATTATTATGCATGATTTTCAAAGTTACACTTTGAGTTTTTTTTCCTTCCACTTTAAGATGTTATAATAACATCTTCATTTAATAATAATAATAATAATTTAAATATGTTTGTAATATGGTTGAAGGGCATGTTATAGTTATAATTTTAGAAAACCTGGGGTGATGATTTTAAAAAATATATAAAAATAATTTTAAAAATTTTAAATTACCAATATTCTAATTTATAGATCTTAATTATCACTTTTAAAACATATATTAAAATCTTATACGCTGTTCTTTATGTGCATAAATACCTGTATTATAATATTATAATTACAATGCCATTGTTAAAAAAAAAAAAAAAGAAGGGAACATTGTGATATGAACAAGGCATGTGGAGAAGGAAACGCGCAAGTTGAACTAAACAAGTGGGCTAGCAATTATGGAGATATAAATGCATTTTTGTGTGTGACATTATCAATATATTGTCATTCATCGAACCCATATACTCATTCAATTGAGGAATTTAATGAGCCACGTGGCTTTTCAGGCTTTTGCCTTTTCTGCTTTGTCAATACATGCCCTAGTCTCTGTCATTAGTCTTGTTCCACTTTTTTTAACCTGTGCACTCATGCTTCTAAAACATTATGGCACGATCGTTTATTTTATTTTTGTAATTCTTTTTTGATTTTGATATGCAAAGAAATCTATTTGTTATTGATTTATTTTTGATCCATGACTTTTCTAAACGATATTATTCTTCAAACGTTAAATTTGTCTTAATTAAATGATAAAAATAAAAATGAATTAATTATTATTTATTAATTTTAATCCTCTATATTATTATTATGTTCATTCCACTCATCTCTTGTAAATTATTTTTCAAAATACGGTACTAGTCATATAGTTTTATTTACACTTATTATTTTTCCATTTTTAAAATAATTTACTAAATTTTAATTAATATTTTTAAATATAAATCATAGTTATAAAAGATGATATAATAATCCCTTATAGATACACTAAAAAAATTAAATATCTTTTGTATTGAGTATAGTGCAATACCCATTGTGAATTGTGATTAAAACGATGTGACCCTGCTTCTTAGGGATAACATAACATGTGATTTCTACCTTAATATATTGGATTTCGACATTAGTGCTAGCTTAGTTTAATTTATATTAATATTAGCGTTTTAAATTTGAAGGAGCTTTGCATGCTTACGATTCATATGTTGACAAAAACAAATACATAAATTATACCCCCCACCAAATATGACTTAGTCAAATCAATTATATATAAATATATATATATATATATATTATAAGATGGTCGGTCTTAAAGTTGGATATATTGGTTTTTTTTTTTTTTAAACTTCAAAGATTCCAATCCATTGCTGAGTTAGTAGATTTGAATTACTACAGTGTTTACATTCGTAAGGTGGTCAAGTGCAATGTAATGCATTAGAGAGAGAAAAAAAAATCTGTTATAAAAAAAAGGTAGCATAAATATTAAGTGATATGAATCTTGACAATGAAAAGACTGTTTTACATTGCATGGATTTAGGTACTAGAGAATTTAAATCCGGGTAGCTAGATTTGATTTTAGTTAATGATGTGAATATTGACTATGAAAAGTTGACTAATATTAAGTACTACTCCCATTCTATTTTATAATATATTTTTGCATTAATTTGATATTATATACAATATATTTTGAGAAAAATAATGACGTATTAAAAAAATTTATTTAAAACTTGTCCCTTATTATTTTTCTTATTAGATATCTTTCTTTCCCTTTCTTTTAATTTTAAAAATTTATATTTGTTTTAAAAATAATATTTTAAATTATATTTAATTGATTTCATTGGCCTTCATAATTTTATAAAAAAAAATATCGCAGAAAATGAGACAGATGAAATATTTTAAAACACGCAAGATTTCTCCAAAACTGGTGAACAAGTTTTTAAACTTGCTCGAAATGCTAACATGAAACACGATTACTTTAAAAAGAAATTTTGAAATTACGTGTCGAATAAGCATATAATTTATATGGGTTGTTGGATTGGAGTATGATGGCATGTCATTAATTAAATATTGATTGAAAGCTAAACGGTGGGTCAATCCCAAGTTGTCCCACGTGATATACTTTGACATTGTTTTATGAATAAATTTTAAACATGTTTCTGAAATTGAAAATAAAGAAAATTAATTAGGTTCCTGCTTCCCTGATGGTGGATATGGTAATTATCTTAAAAAAATTATTTTTTCCCCTTTTTTGGTTGCAGTGAAAGTTCTAGAAGCAATATCATCGAAGATAGATAATTTGAATTGGAAGGTGGGCCCAAGTTCTTGTGTGGATGGAGGCTTCAAAAATGAGAGCATTGTGGGGAACGACATCATTAGGAATGTTACATGCAATTGCACTTTCTCCGCCGGAAAAGTTTGCCACGTCACACATATGTAAGTATATCTGTTTTTGTTTTTTATTTAAAAAAATGTTGGTGGGTTAAATTCTCAAATCTCATGTACTTATAGATTAATATTTAAACCATGACCTCGTCGGTTATATGTTAAATCATTATTAATTGAATTAACTTTTATTAATATCTGTTTTTATTTTTAAAATACTTCCTTTAGTCCCTTATATATAAAGTGTTCTAGACTTTTCTCATGTAGATTTTAAAAAGTTGTTAAATTGCTTTACTTATTCAAAAAAATCCCAATAATTTCATTTATATCCTTATTAATTAGAGAAAATCATATTATACTTTACACAAGTCACAAGAAAGCTATTAAAATTTAATGTGCTGACTAGACAGCTTATAATTTAGCCCAACTTTTATTTTTGAATGACACCTAAGGGATCAGACCGTACATAACTATACCTTTGTATATTAGGAGATCTCCCCTCAATTTGATTTGACATATGTTGAAGTTTGGATTAGTCATAGATGTGGCAACAGAGCAAAGTAGTTTGCACGGATTGAGGAGCTAAAACTGAATTAATTAAAAAAATTTAGGTCTCTGTAAATATTTTATTGATGTGTATTATGACAGCCAGCTGAAAGGTCTTAATCTATCTGGAGTTATACCAAGTGAATTTGGCAATCTTACCCAACTGCAAGAAATGTAAGTCATTATTATTTTTCAAATTTACATTATTATTCGTTTATATATGTACAATAAATTAATGTGTATGCCTAAGAATTTGATCTGTGAATTTATGAACTAAAACGTCGGTGTGGAACAGTGATTTGACTCGAAACTATCTGAATGGCACAATCCCAAAGAGCTTTGCTAGACTCCCTCTTGTTATAGTGTAAGCGATCAAAACTTAACGAATATCCAAATGCTATTTTCCAATCACTTGCCAAATGCATTATTCATCTCTTAAACTTATGCTCCAGATCCCTCCTGGCTAATCGAATCAGTGGTCCAATTCCGGAGGAAATCGGTGATATTTCAACTTTGGAGGAGCTGTAAGTGAAAATAAATCAAAAGTCACTTGGGGTTTCTGAAACTTGTTTCTGCGTTGAGAAATGGTTTTATGGTCTTGCTGTTTTCTGCAGGGTGTTGGAAGATAATCTGTTACAAGGAACTCTTCCTTCTAGTCTCGGAAAATTGAAGCAGTTACGCAGATTGTAAGGATATTTCGTGGACAAATGATTTTTCCTTCATCTTCCTCGCTTTGTAATTAATATAGGTCTTGATGAAAATAGGTTTTTATATTGTTTTTCCCTGTATCTTCTGTCTACAAATTTGCAGGCTTCTTTCATCAAATAATTTCTCAGGGACGATACCTGAAAGTTTTGGCAATTTAAAGAAACTAGAAGATTTGTGAGTGATATATATATGACACGAGTTAGCCATTCCTTTCTTTCAGTTCTATGTTCTTGCAGACGTTTAAATTCTGAAATATCTTCTTTTATTTTCTGCAGTAGATTAGATGGAAACAACATGTCAGGAAAATTACCCAGTTTTATTGGAAACTGGACCAATCTTGATAGATTGTGAGTCTATTTTGCTCTTACTCATTTTAATTCTTTCCTTGTTGAAGAAGGTACTTTTTAGTTGATTTTGATCCTTCCATGAAAAAATCATGTGATTCTGTCAGGTGAGTAAGTGCAAAAATTTACCGCACCAATATATCTACATATCTGATGAACATATAAAAATTCACTGTGTTCATAGGCTGTGAACTATAGAACTCCAACTCGATAGACCTTACCATATAGTTTAACCCTTAAATTGAGAGGATTTTGTTCAGCATCACTTGTCTAAATTATTATTATTATTATTATTATCATTATTATAACTACTTTTATTGACAGGGATTTGCAGGGAACATCCATGGAAGGCCCAATTCCTCCAACCATAGCTTTGTTAACGAATTTGACTCAGTTGTGAGTTACTTGTTCCTGTGTAGTTTGCAGACTGTTCAATGGCCTCGGAATTTGATCTACAACATAAGGACATTTTCCTGTTACTGATTATGTCTTTTTTCTTTTTTGGTTTTAAATTTCTGTTCCCAATTCAGGAGAATAACTGATTTGAATGAGATGACAACAATGAGATTTCCTGATATAGAGAATTTGAAATCCTTGAAACAATTGTGAGTTATGAAACCTTCTCTGCTGTTATATGAAAATCTGTTTCATGCACTTTTAATTATTTTTAATGAAGTTTATTTACTTTCCTACTTTGTATTACTTAGGGTGTTGAGAAATTGCTCAATCACTGGTTCCATTCCAAATTACATTGGTCAAATGGAAGACTTGGTTGCTTTGTAAGTTGATTCGTACTCATATTTTACCAATTCCAAATCCTCCAAAACAGTATTTTCAACCAATTTCAATTATCATAGTATTCATAAGTTATTAACGGTAATTATCTCGAACTTTGCGTAATGCATGGGAAACATTCTAGTTTACCTTTTTTGACAACTGACAACTTAATTCTCAAGTTAGAAATAATTACTAATATCATATTTTGACTATGACAATAAGAAATTCTAGCGATCATTTTTAATCATATATATATATATATATAATAGTGATATTTGCAATGATAATAACTTTTTTTATGATGTTTGTGTTTCAAATAAATTGCAGAGATTTGAGCTTCAACAAGTTGAGTGGTAGGATCCCTAGTGAAATACAGGACTTGACAAGACTAGATTACATGTGAGCATTGCTTCAAGTAACTTAATTTCTCGGAACTATTTTTTGGTGGGCAATAAATTTCTTTGGTTTTTTCTCTTTTTCTCATTGATTTTTATAATTATGCATGCAGGTTTTTGACTGAAAATTCTTTGAGTGGAGATATTCCAGGATGGATATTAGCAAACAAAAATAACTTGTTAGTACAATTTTTTTTTTTTGAACTCTTATTACTTGTACACCAGTCTTATTTCTTGAAATTAACCCATATATCATTTACCATATTAGCAATTAGCCCTCAAATCTTTCACATGTAATTTACTAATTATTCCCTCACAAACATATCAGATTTCATCTCTCACACACCTTCTTGTTAGTTTTTTGTAGTATTGTCCAGATTACTGCACTAATTTTGGTCTCATGCCCATGTGTCACATATTTGGGAAAGAGTGACACAATAATGTGACATTACAAAGAATTCACATTTCAACATTACTTTTCCCCTCAAATATATTTATTGATAAACATTCTAAAGCTTGGAATGAATTACGGAAAAATAAACTTAAGTTGTTACTTCACTCTACTCTCTCTTCCAGGGATTTATCTTACAACAATTTTTCAAAGACTTCTGCTAAGATTTGCCAGTTCAAGGATGTGTACGACTCTCTCTCTTTCTCTTTCTCAAAGCCATTGAGCAATAACTTTTGTTCTTCTACTGAATCCTTATCTTTGTTGCACAGAAACTTGGCTTCAAGCCTATCATCTTCAGCAGAGACCTCGTAAGATTATGGTTATGGTCATTCTGTTATAACTATTCTGCACCATTGTTGAATCGTGTATTGAAACTGATTATTCATCTTGCAGAATTACTTGCTTGAAAAAGGACCTTCCTTGTGGGGGAAAACCTAAGTGTGAGTGTTCAAAACTTCATACATCTATAATGTTTTCATGCACTACAATGTAAGGATATCAAATGATACTAAAATATCATAGATGTGATATTTTTACAAGAGAAGATGTTGAACTGAAGCTTTGATATTGTGGTTTCTCCTTGATGTGAAGTTTTATCTGGTTGTCACTATATATGCAGATCATTCATTGTTCATAAACTGTGGAGGATCAGAAATTGAATATGAGGGGAATAAGTATGAAACTGACCTTAATCCAGAGGGTATATCATTCTTTAGTCCTTCTGGCGACAAATGGGCTTATAGCAGCACAGGATCATACTTAGGAAACACTAAAGCTGATTTTATTGCAAAAAATACATTTTCTCTCAACATTACTGGCCCCAGCTTCTACAAAACAGCTCGCCTTTCTCCTTTGTCTCTCAAGTATCATGGCCTCTGTTTGCTTAATGGAAATTACAATGTCAAGCTTCACTTTGCTGAGATTATGTTTTCTAATGACCAGAAATTCAGCAGTCTTGGAAGGCGCATATTTGATGTTTCAATTCAAGTGAGTGTCACAGTCTAAATCGTGTCTAGTGATTAAAAGGTCCTGTAAGAAGAAAGAGTTCTGAAAGGTTGAAACTTTTGTGCCAAAATCTTGACAGGGTAGGAAGTATTTGAGTGATTTTAACATAATGGAGGCAGCTGGTGGTGTTGGTAAGGGCATTTTCAGGGACTTCAACGTTGATGTTAGGGATAACTCCTTGGAAATCCATTTATATTGGGCTGGGAAAGGAACAACAGCTATTCCTGATAGAGGTGTATATGGACCTCTTATATCTGCTATTTCAGTCACCCCAAGTGAGTCAAATCTCAAAATCATTGGTCTTCACTCTTTCTAGCTTAAACAATGTAATTCGAACCTTTTGATTTTGGTATGAATCATAAACATTTCCACTTTGTTGTAGACTTTCAAATTCCTTCAGAAGGGCTTTCTGCTGGAGCCATTGCTGGAATTGTGGCTGGATCATGTGTGATCCTCATACTGATACTGATTGTCCTTCGAAAGATGGGTTTCTTAGGTGGGAAAGATCCAAAAGACAAAGGTGAAAAAAAATCTGAAATAGTAAAGCTTATCAGTTGCTAATTTGGTGTAATATAGCATTAAACATGACTTTAACCGTCTAAAAGTAACATGCAAATCAAATGGATAAATTTGATTTTTGTATATTAGTTGGCAAACAAAATATCGCCCATGTTTCACCTACAATAAATTCGTGTCTTTTTCCTGGAGTTTCATTTGGTTTTGCTCTTATTTATATAACCTGTTTTTTTTTTTTTTGGGGCAGAACTATTAGATCTGAAAACGGGTTATTTCTCCTTAAAACAAATCAAAGCTGCCACTGATAACTTTGCCCCAGAAAATAAGATTGGTGAAGGAGGTTTTGGACCAGTGTATAAGGTAACTTCGGATATATTATATTTATACTCATGCCATATTAACTTGACAAATGCGCTTAAAAAACAGATAACATCTTTTGGATATATTGATTGTATTTAAGAAAAATGATGAAAAAATTGAAACCAGGGAATTGGTTGAATTGTAGGGCGTACTATCAGATGGTGCTGTCATAGCTGTGAAGCAACTCTCCTCAAAATCAAAGCAAGGGAATCGGGAATTTGTTAATGAAATAGGAATGATTTCTGCTTTGCAACATCCAAATCTTGTGAAGCTTTATGGCTGCTGCATTGAAGGAAACCAGCTATTGTTGATATATGAGTACATGGAAAATAACAGTCTTGCTCGTGCTCTTTTTGGTAAGGATTTAAATTATTTACAGTAAATAAATTTCACCATATAGCATGATAAGGAAGGGATGCAGAGAAGATGGATTTCATGCATTCTCATTTCTCTGCATCGCTCTCTTTTTTATTGTGCTACCATGCAACTGCATTAGATCTCCAAAGTTTTTCAATAAATGCTTTGTTCATGACTTTGAATTATGTCTTTATTTCCGTCTTTCAATTTCTGAAAAGACAAAATTCAGATGTAGTTTCTTAGCATTTTTCTGATTCATGCCTATGATTGACCAATTGGAAGTAACTTCTTTGGATGTTGCAATTTAACTAAAGGATCTGATAGTAAACATTCTAGAAAGTTTCTTTCATTTTGTTTTTTGTAAACTAAGATGTAATTGATATTCTTAGGTCGCCCAGAACAGAAATTACACTTGGATTGGCCTACAAGAATGAAAATCTGTGTAGGGATTGGAAGAGGATTAGCTTATCTACATGAAGAATCAAGGTTGAAAATTGTACATAGGGATATCAAGGCAACAAATGTCTTACTTGACAAAGGCTTGAATGCTAAGATCTCTGACTTTGGTTTAGCCAAGCTTGATGAAGAAGAGAATACCCATATCAGCACAAGAATAGCAGGAACAATGTTAGCATTCTGCTGCTTCTTTTCTTGCATCAATTCTCAAAAGTGGTAGATTATTAGAAATTTATTTCTTTTAGCTGATTTTGAGGTACTATATTTTTTATTGACAGTGGTTATATGGCTCCTGAATATGCCATGCGAGGATACCTGACTGACAAAGCAGATGTTTATAGTTTCGGAGTTGTTGCTTTAGAGATTGTGAGTGGAAAAAGCAACACAAATTACAGGCCCAAGGAGGAGTTTGTTTATCTTCTTGATTGGGTTGGTTAAACTTATCTTTGATGCTCAGTATGTTCAAAGGATTTTCACCCTTCTAATTTTCCATCTGTCTATTCAATGTTGGTAAGACTGAAATCAAACTAAAATGAACCCCGGCTACAATTAAAAAGCAATTTAAAGAACTGATACATTGTCAATTTTGTGTGATTTCTTGATAATGAAATCAAATGTAAAATTTTTATGATATAAAAGGGATATAAATGTAATGAGAAGAAATAATGTCCTGGTTCCTGAGATACAAGCCTTTTTCAATATGGTCCCTCATTGTCAATGCCTTCTTCAATTTGGTCCTTTCTATTACCTCAAATGATCAGCTGTGTCAAATTACTGGCATTGTCTCATTTTATAACATGTCAAAGAAGAAACCAAGGATACATTTTCTCCATAAATTCACGGTTTGATTCCATTTCTAAAAATTGCATACTTTCATGTAATTGAAGGCCTATGTTCTTCAAGAGCAAGGAAACCTTCTTGAGTTGGTGGATCCAAGTCTTGGTTCAAGCTATTCCTCACAGGAAGCCATGAGAATGCTGGAGTTGGCACTCTTATGTACTAACCCATCTCCAACTCTTAGGCCACCCATGTCCTCTGTGGTTAGCATGCTTGAAGGAAAATTGCCGATCCAAGCACCGATAATCAAGTGCCGGGAGGGTGACCAGGATGCAAGATTCAAAGCCTTTGAGATGCTATCACTAGACAGCCACAGCCAAACCTTTGTTTCTTCTACAGTTTCACAAGAAAGCATGGAGCAAAGAGTCCAATCAATGGGTCCATGGGGTGATTCCTCTGTTTCTCTTCCAAGTAAAGATTGCTCTTCATCTGATAGGCTTCTTAGGGATTCCAATGTATAATCTGTTCAAAAAGTGGGTTGAAAAACTTGCTATGGAGTAGATATTAGAATAGCCATAAGCATGCTAGTGCAGAGTCAAAAAGAAATTTGATGATGTGTAAAGAACATTTGTTCATGTATTAGTTACTGTAGTTTCCGAATAGAAAAATTTATACCTGCAAAGTTTTCTGTTGAAGGATGATAGGAGTATTGGTGGGGGGGGGGGGAGCTTTTCTTGAGATTTTGAAATACAGGAAATATTAAATAGTTAGGGTATGTTTGGTTTAGTGGGAGGAAAGGGAGGGATGAAGGGGAGAGGAGGGGTTTTAATAAACTTTAGTTTGGCTTAGGAAGGGAGGAAAGGGAAATCAAAAATAAGTTAACAATTTTATTCCTATTAAATTTAACTTGATTTTTATTTTTTCTTTGAAAAAAAAATCTGTTATATCATCCTTTATTAAGTTTTTATTTTAAGAATATGAACTTATATTAATTAAAAAAATTTGAAGAACAAAAACATTAATATTATATTTTATCAGTGAGTCTAATAAAAAATATTAAAATTTTATACATTAAAAAATTATATATTAATTTTTGTGAGATGGTAAAATTTATTTTATTATAAGAAATGAAGACAGAAAGATAATACATAATTTTTTAATATAAAAATAGTTTAAAATTTTTAAAATAAATATTTAAATTAATCTTATTTATTTTCTCTCTCCTCTCTCCTCCAAAAAATCCCCAAATTGGAGGGGAGGATTACAAGGCTCCTTTAATTTTTTTTTTTAAACTAAACAAGGAGCTTTCCTTCCCTCCTTTTATTAGACATTAATTAAACAAGGGAAGGGAGCAACTCCCCTCCCCTCTCTTCTAACAACTTTCAACCAAACACACCCTTAATGTTAATAAATTCTCATGTACTAAAGTTTTATGCTAAAAGGTCACTTTCCATTCAACATTTTTCTGTGATTTTAGTTAAGTGTGTTGAAAGATCTTGCATAAAGTCACTATTTTGTATCAATTGAAGAAGTTAAATTAAAGTTGCACTTGGATTGGTGAATTTGGGTTGAGAATTTGAATTTAAAATCTCGCATTTGAAATTTATAGATTCTAAATTTTTTATTTAGATAATATAAAAAATTTCAAATTATAATATTAAAATACTTTTTATCTTAAATAAAATTTTAAATTTCAAATTCTACGTTTAAATTTAAAGGTAATTCGGATGATATTAGCAATCTAGTTCAAATTATGGGTGATGACCCAATCTTCGGCCAACACCAAACGAGGGTAGTGAATCTACACTGGAGCTGAGATTGAACAACGATGATGATATCAAATCAACATTGGGCAACGGAGGAGGGAGATTTCGGTTGATGTTAGCAATCACGTCTCAATCAACGCTAGAATTCCTGTCTTGGTTATCACCTGTGGTCTAGTCTTAGTTGATACCAATGATCCAGTCCCGTGCATGTCGGCCGGAGGCAATGATGTCAAAGTCAAAAAGGTAATGAAGTCAACGAACTAATGTGAAAGAGGAGATAAGCTTTCGTTGAAATTTAAAATAATAAGATTTAGAAAAAATTTGAAATTATGAAGGGATTAAGGTTGGATTTAGATATGAGTCAAATCTAAATTCACACATTTTCAATTACTCAAACAATGTATTTGGCTCAAATTCAAATCAACATGCATCCAAACATAACATTAATAAAGTAGAGTAGTGAGGATGTAAACATACAATACCGATTACGTGTGACAAAAAAAAAATAAAAATAACTGTTTCAAATTTAGTAGGTGAGAATGCCTATAGGTGAAGCTGAATTGATACCACTCTTGAAGTTAAGAACCAAAAAAGAAGGGGGAAAGAGCTTGGCTTTTTATGAAATATGAGCAATACAATTTGTTTTTTTTTTGTTTTTTTGGATATATTAAGAGAGTTTAAACACTTAACTTTTACTTACATGCCCTTCTATTCTTATTATACTCTAAGTAATGAACAATAAACATTTTGTTTTTCACTGTAAATACATTTCTAATTTCAAACTTCACAATTATTGTGATTATAATGGTTCAATTTGAATTAAAACTTGACCAATTCTGACTTGAATCAGTGTTGGAATGATATTTCACCAACTATTACATTTACTCGTGCAATGCGTTTTAGGGTGCAAGAGCTATCCTTATCACTACTATTTTTTTTTTTTTATGTCTTTGTCTATTTTGATAATCTCTTTTTAATTTAGTGATTTGCAAATGTGTTTGTTGACCTACCCTGCTAACATGCATTTGGGTTGATCTTTGTCATCATTTTTAATTGATTCCTTGGACTAATCTCTTTATATATAGACATCCTTTTCATTTGTATCCTTCCAACTATTTATTTATATAATTTTTTCAATCAAATCCTTTTTAACTTAGTTTTAATTTTCCTGTTAAGAAAAAACCTGATCGCCTAGACTTTGTATTGTTTAGTTTTATCTAATTCTACCCATTTGCTACCAACAAAAAAGACACCTGATGACCATCTCAAATTAAAAAGAGGAACGAGGAATTTAACATTTAACAAAATACAATATAATTCTTAATAATATTCACGGTTAAATGACAATTTAAATCGAAAATTATAATTTAAATTTTAAATTTGTCTTTGATATATTTTCACCCTTAAATAATTATATATGTTACAATCGAACCCTCCTATTAACTTGGATTGGAGAACAGAGAATTTTTTTGACTTGATGATGTTAAATTGGGATGCCATGTGTGCAAATCAAAACAGTAAAATGGGATTACTTTCCTCATCGTCTTCGCTCGCATTCGATCCTTCTACAGCGTCTTCGGCATAGCCCCCATTCTTGGAGCCAAATTTGAAAACCAAAGACACCAAACAAGAAACAACTTCCCACCAAAACCAAAAAAAAAAAAAAAAAAGAAAAAAAGTTTAGAGCTAGAGACAGCTAGTTTGATAGCTTCATTGGCCCAAAAACAAAAATCAACCCAGTTCCCTCCTTCATTGAAAAAAGGGTTCAGACATTTTGGGAAAGAAAGACATCCGTATAAAATTGTTGAGATGGAAGTGCAAATACTCTGTCAAGGAGCTTTAAGACGCCCATGGGTAATGACAATTTCATTGAGCAGAGCAATTCTAGATCTGAACATGAAAAAACGAAATCCCCAAAGGTACAGTGGTCGTGTGGAGGAGGAATCTGGTCCAGGAAGAAGAAACAACGAACCCAGTCAAAGGGTTCAGATCGTACAAATCTCTCTCCGATTGTTCTTTAACCCAACGCTTCGATTGAGTTAATATACCAGCTTTAGATAAGACGCAAATTGGGCACGTCCTGCGATTTTTTATTTAAATAATATGGGATCGCTTTGATCGAAGAAGGATGGCCTGAAAAGTCGAAGTCCATTTCCGGGGGGATGAAGCCACTTTCTCTTCTCTCTTCATCTGCAATCAATTGGCGTCCTTGAAAATGCCTTTTGCTCTTTTCTCACCCTCGTTAACAGGTTCGTTCTTTCCGCTTCGTGGGACTGGTTTTTGTAATTTTCAATGTGGGTTCTGATGCCACATCTGGCTCCACCAAACGGACGTCAACTCCAAATTAATGGTAGATTTAAATCGCTACAAGTATAATTATTTAAGGGTCAACATGTATTAAAAATGAGTTTATTGTTGGAATAGCTTCTTAACTAGTTTTAAGTCCAAATTGCCATTTTAATTCTAATATTAAAATATATATTAATTTAACCATCACTAGTTTAATTGCAATTTAAGCATAGTTAATCAATGAACCTTGCATGGCCAATTCAATAATAGATCCGGTTTTCATATTACTAGCAGTATGTAGTGTTTCTAAGCTTTTTTCTAATGGGAATGACTGTGCCAAACTTTATAGGAATTGTTAATGAAAATAATGCTAATGTACAAATAATTGGATCAGCTGTTAACTTGGTTAGATTCTCTCCCTCTTTTGGGATGTCACTTAGACGTAGCAAGTGATATTAGACTAAAATTACAATAAAGATTTATATAATTTTGATATTATCTATTAATTACAATATCTTTAAATTCCATCTTTCACATGTGTCCTTTTCATTACAAAAATATTACACACTCCCAATTGCAATCCCCGTCATCCACAAGTATTGCCAACCCTTTTCCAATAAAAAATACAATGCCCAATTATATTAGAAATGTTAACGGAAATAAAGTTAATGGATAAAATAAATAATTGAATTTTTTAGTTACGGGCTTCATTGGATTCTCTTTTTATTTTCATGATGATTTTTAAACTTCATAAGTGATATCAGAGCCAATCTATTTGTTGGATAATCAAAAACTATTTCTTATAAGTAGCATCAGAGAATGAAGATATTTCTTGTGGAGGAGTAATGAGAGACAAGCGTGAAACATGGATAGCTGAGCTCCACAATTTCGAGGTATTTCTACATTTAGTGAAGCTGAGGAATGGATCATCTTAACAGGTATTGAAGACAGCATGCACACTAGGTTTCAGATATGTGATTCTTGACTCAGATTCAAGATCATTATTAGATACTCTTGACCACTTTGAGAGTAGAGGAAAAACTGCTAATTTAGTTTTAACTTAGGTCAAAAGCTTTCAAGAGAGGAATTGTCAACTAAAATTACATCGCATCCCAAGAGAAATTAATAGAGTAGTAGTCAAGATTGTCCGAAAGATGTCTTGATATGATTATGAAGTGTGATTTTCAATTTACATTGTGTATTCCTAACATTTTTCAGAACCTGTTTAGGTAATTCTCAAAAGCACATTTAAATAATATTCGAGATGTGCTCTTACCAAATTCAATAAATAGTTAGATTTTTTCAGATATGTTTTTATCATATATAAATTAAAAACCAAAAATACATATACCTGTAGGCTTCGTTATTTTCAGATAATGTAAGATGCCAATTCCATTTTAGCATTTAGATGGAACAAGCTCCTAGGACTTGTTTCCCTCTTTTTTTATATAAATAAAATAATCTTTGAGTTTCAACTTTACATTTGCCCTCCCCACAGCGCAGTTTCAATCGTAGCTCCAGCCGCAAACTTTACTTTTTGGTTTATCTTGGCATTCAGAAACGACGGTAAGGTCTTAAAAGACTTTTCGAAATCTAATTTTATCAACTTTTTTCAATAGGAAATACAGTGCAACATTCAATTTTGCTAAACTTTTTTCAATGATAAATATGATGCCAAATTATATAAGAAGTGTAACTGGAAATAACATTAATGTACAATTAATTAAATATTTCTATTTATTGTTGTGGTTAGATTGTCTTCCTTTTTTAATATATTCGTTAATTAGGCTTACAAATAATACTAGACCTATCTTCCATAAATGTTTGTATAATTTAGATAATAACTATTAACTGCATTATTTTTTTAATTTCAAATTTAAATTTGTCATTCTTAATAACAAAATAAGTAGTTGCAGCTTGCGCCCTTTCATTTGGAAAGACAGTGAGAATTAAATAAATACTGTTAATAGAAAGAATGTTAAGATAAAAATACTTGGAATAGAATCACACTCTGTTCGAAAAACCGTTGTTAAACTTTTCACTATTTAATTAATATATTTTAAATAGCATAGATAAAATAAAACTATATTAGAATATTCATGCAGAGTAATAAAATTAAGTTGGACAAAATTTATCTACGTGTGTGTTAGGATTGCTTCCAACTAAGGTTTGGGTGGCCCAAACCTCAATTTGGAGATGAAAAACTCATTAGCAATATTAAAGTTTGTTTGGATAAAAAAGAGTGAGCTTAGAATGAGTCTTTTGGTGAAAGCTGGGAGGGGTAGCTTTTTAACGAGCGTTGGGGTTCTTCTCTCTCCTCGTACCTCGCTCAGTCTCCCTGTCTTCACAAGGTTCACAAGGTCCTTCTTTGTCGTACCTACCAGTGTTTCACTCCTTGGAAAGCTTGTGGTACCAAGCTCATGCTGACTCACTCTCTCTGCCACCGATGGAGAAGAGGAGGAGGAGGAAGGAGAGAACCAAGTGATTCCATGGTCTTGCGCTTCCACTTCGGTGTCATGGCCATCGCTTGTGAGTTCTGCTTCAACTGTTTCTGGTTTAATCAGTGATGTTGGAGTTTCAGCGAGAAGTTGCTGGTGGCCTTTTCGATCTCCTCCATGGAAAGACCAAGTGGAAGGGAGATCAGAGTGGAGTGATGACACAAAAACAGAGACATATTCGTGTGAGAGGGACTGTTTTTTTTTTTTTTTTTCACAAACTAAAGCAAGAGAGAGGTGTATAAGTCAAAATGGTGATGCGAATGTTTCAACCAGCTTAATATATATTAATTTATTTTAGACTTTTTAACTCTATTTCTTAAATAAAATTATAATTTAAAGTTTAATTTTCTTAAACAAAATGTCAGGTTCACAAAGTTTAATATTTTTTTAAGAAAACCAAATTAATCACAAAAATATAAAATTAAATCCATACCTTTTTTTATCATTATACATTTAAATTGACTTTTGGAATCAAATCATTTAAATAAATTTTAGTTTATTCAACTAATTTAAAAAAAAAATGTATCCAAACATAAATTACATTAAAAACACACTAATCTCAGTTATAAATTTTTTAATTTAAACAAACACTAAAACTATAATAGTCATTCATTGTCTTTGCCATACATCACGAGCTTCAATTCAATTACGAACATCATCATAAAAGTAAGCTGGTTAAATTGTCATAATTCATCAAAAACAGTCAAGTGCATTTTTTTCTGTTATTCTCCACAATCTTCACTTAGTCTGAAGGATTAATTGATTTCTCTTCATACATAACCACACAAAAAGAAAGGTATTATTCAACAGAATCTTTTTAGCGTAAACAGTTCAAAATTAAAACGAATTGATAGTTATTGAACAAAAATTTATCACACCCATGGCCGTGACCCTAACATATCCGTAACTGGACTATACCAGACTAAAATTAAGAAATTCTTTTAACAAATCATAACAAAAATTGATCAAGCAATAATTTAAAAACTTACCAAAAAGATATGGAAGGCACATACGCATATTTCAGCAGAATTTGATATATTTTGTAGGCAGTATTTGGATTAGTAGATTTGAATTTGAATTTTGAATGTCAAATTTCAAGTTTCAAATTCATGTATTTAAAATTTTTTGTTTTGATAATTTGAATAACAAATAATTACTATTAAGTAATGTTTAAGAGTGCATATGGATATTTGAAATAATAAGACTTAGAGAGAAATTCAAATTATGAAAAAATTAAGACAAAATTTGGATTTGGATTTAAATAATCCATAATTTTTTTTAAATGCTCAAATGGGGGATATTATAAATTCAAATCCATATACACAAACATAACATAAATGAATTGACAGGAAGAGACAGTTTACTGATAATCCGTGTCTACGTAACAAGTAAATTATGGAAGAGACAATTCCCAAGAAAATGGGATCATCAGAGCAACCATTGACCAGTTCAAATAAGGTCACCTCAGAAAGTCAAAACATGAGAAGATAAAGAAAGAAAAGGTAGCTATCAATTAGACCCAGACACAGATACAGTGATCCAAATTAAACCATAATATATAGGACTCAACATTTTTATTTTTATCAATAAATCCACAAACAATGATGGATGCGTTTGAAATGTGCCAGCACACTCAAGGAAAAATAAGGCAAGAAAATATATTGATTCAATAAAGGGAACAGAGTGCATGAGACCAGTTGAACTGTGTTGAATTTTCAAGTAACTTTTCTTTGACAAACAAACAGAGTCAATCCATACAGGTATATTAATCTTTCTAATAATATTGTTTTGAGCAAGAGAGAGAGACGGAATCAAAAGGGTTGAAAAACCACCCCACACCTAACTAAAGCTATGTATATGACTTAGCAACAGATTAGATCTATGAGGTGAAAAGAAAAAATAATAAAAATTAAACAAAGAGCAGCTGCTTGGGGCCTATCATTTCTACACAATATAACAGAGAGGGTGAACAGTTCATATCGTTGGACCTCTGAATTTCAGTAATGTAGTACTTCACCTGCAACAGAACATGTTTCATTTTAAAAACGATGTAATTTCAACTCTAATAAAGGTCCCGTATATTCTATTCATCAAGTAATGATCATACCTCGTCTTTGAGCTCCCAAGAGTGAGCTCTAGGTCGTCTGATCCGATATCTTCATGTATCCTCTCTCCTTCCCATGGCTTTACTAAACCTGCTGTGTTACTTCCAAAGGCAAATTCGTCTGAAACCACTTGAGCCATTGGAATATCAGCAGTGTGATCAGAGCTTGCAGCTACAGCCGGAGAACATGTCCCACTTTGCCCGGGAGTCCACATGTGGGAACCACAGCCGGCTAAAACCTCATCCTTGGAGCCAAAAGGGTTTGAAGAGACCAAGCTAAAGGTGGGAGAATTTGGGCCACCTTGGGGAATCCTAATCCCAGCAAACCATTCTGGGTTAAAAACCTGGCGGCCAGGACTAGGAGGAGTGGAAGAGGGAAGGAAGGGGTACTGTTGCCCAGCCTGCCCAGGACAAGTGGACTGCTCACCCCAGTCAGCTTTGGTTCGGGGTGTTCGGGCAGTAGGAGAGCTCAGTGGAGGAGTGACAGGAGCACTGATGGAACCACTATGAATGTAGAGATGAGGGAGCTTGGAAGATGATGCTGATGATGATCCTGATGAGAGATTCTTGAGCCATGGAATGAGGGAACTGCCATCAGCATTAGGATTAGTATTGGCAGCATAGGAGGATGAGCGTGGGCTTGGGAAGGAAGAAGAGACAGGGCTCGGATTGTATGAAGCACCAGGGCTTGGATGGTAAGATGAGCATGGGCTGGCCACTGCAGAACCACCAACGACATCCATGCGTTCCACAGGCTTGCATCCCTGATTTTATAAAATATTTTTCAGTGGATAATATAGATGTAGCATATAGCATTGCATTATGATAGAATCTCATATGATTGGTGTTTGTAAAACCAAGGCATATCATTTTAACCACCACATGACATGCACCAAAAGATAAGACCAGCATATATATATATATATATCCTAAAACATAAAATAATGTCACCAATGGACTTGCTTTGAGTCTTTAAATCACTACCAATAGAGAATGAAATGCAGAATGATCTGGGAACACACAAGAATTGTCACCAAATTCCATTCACAATTCTGGCCTTCGATTCACCTATTCCGGCTTCTTCTTATTTTCTAGATTATCGCGTAACTGAAACAAATAATTACAATTCAGACCAGAAATCAGACTACAATCTAATACACAATCATTTGTCCATATCGTATGCTCTTAGGCAAAAGACAAATTAAATGCTTGGCAGTTGTCTACGAGAATGACATATTCCGCAGCCATGATTTTATTTCCCAACCAAGATATTTTCTTCCATCCCTGGTTGTAACCACGTTTCCTTTGTCAGTAAATTTTCCCAAGTGAATAGCAATTTGCTTTCCTTTTTCAAAACTATATGAAGTTATTTTCTTTTGATATATCATAAAAGGCATCAGACATCTAGACATTACCCTTCAGTGGGTCATCTATTATAGCCCAAATCTCTCTTTCATGTAGAAATGTAGAAATACTAATCAATTAGTTGGACAGTTGGACTAATCTGAAAAGGAATACGAACTTGTAAGAATTAAATTATGCAGATGTTATGTCACAATATAGATTATAAACAGCATTCTGTAGATTTAATTATCCTCAATCTTTCAAATGATCAGGGGCTAGTAGAAAGCTTCTATACGGGAACAGCTGGTATATCTGATCAATCAATCTTATGTCATTAGTCTAAAGTGATAAACAGATTCTATTGCCGTAGTCTTCAAAAATTTTTTAATGCATTTTAAAATGGTTAGATGAGGTGCTTAAAAAGAACATCCCCTCCTTAATTCCTTATTTGACCGTCATCAGCTACTAAACTGTCGTTTCTCGAGGAGTTGAACCCTTAGGTTTTTGACAACCAAAAAAAGAAAGAAAGAAAGAAAGAAAGAAAAGAAAAGAAATAAATAGTACCAATCCTTTCTGCTCTTCATCAGGGTTTGATGTTTTGAACCTTAAACAACCAAAAAAGGAGTTTTTTTTTAATTTAAAAAAATCAATGAGGCATAATAAGAAGATGGGATGTGACAAATAAGAGTTATATACTCATTTAAAATAACTATTGTCTTATATCCTGAAGTCCTAGAACACAAAATGAGATATAAGGGATTCTCACATTTGAATGATTTAATATATTGTAGACTAAGAAATCAGAAAAGAGAGAAGATGCCAAACGATGGAGCTGGGCCCCCAAGGAACAAGGATGCGATCATGGGAATGTATGCATCCCGTCCAAGGGCTGTGAAATGTGAATAACCTTAGATTCCCATCCAAAGGGTGAAAAGTGCTCGACCTTCCAGGAGCCCAGCCCATATTAGTTAGCGATAATTAGTTGAACTGAGATAATAACTTCAGCAATGAATGAGCTCTTTTTTTTTTTTTAATACAACAATGAATGAGCTTCTTAGTGGATGAATACATAGTGAAAACTACCCACAATAGCAGCTGACAAATTCAAACAACGGCAAATCAGTAATTGCCTTCTATAAATAGTTAAGCACCAAACTGTATAAATATTCTTAGAATCGTTATTTGTTAAATTTAGAAAATCAGAAAATGAATAAAAAAAAACTCATTTACTAGTATGACATAATATATTTTTATGCAATAAATGGTTTAGAAAGAAATTTCTTCAAAATTAGAAAGAAATTTCATCCATTTCAGTATATTTGATCTTGAAAATAATGAGCCCCAATTAAAAAAAAAAAAAAGTTAGATTTCAGGTTGTAGCAAAATATGATAATATTTTATGACTAGGATATCCTTAGATTAATTCTCTATTCTTTTTTATGTATTATCTTCTCTCATTAAATCAAATACATTAATCTTATAGTGAGAATTATTTTGTAACAAAATCAAAATCCTAGATTGTCAATTATTTTTAGACCAAAATAGTAGTAAATTATAACTACATACATCTATTAATTTTGCCAACGTCATATCTTGCGTTAACAATAATTACGACAATAACTGAATTCATTAAGCAAGTTAGACTGAATTATTACAACAGTGATTTACGTGTATCATGCATCTAGCTTTCATGCTACCAAATTGTTAATATTTCAAAAAAATATCAAAAGATAGCATTGAAAAAAGAAACGCTTAGCCAGCATCTGTCAATTTTAAAATTTAACACATACTCCCTCCATTCAAAAAATTTAAGGCATTTTTTGAAAAATTAGATATTTAAAAATTTAAGGCATTTTTAATGTTTCAAAGTATAATTATTATTTTTTTTTTTGCAAAAATGTCCCTATTAATAGTGACTTTATATTTATTATAAAGTATTTAATAGGGATAAATATGAAAAGATAGACTTAGTTTAAAAGTAGATCATTATTTTATTGGGAGTGAAATTTAATTAAAAATGCCTTATATTTTTTAAAGGAAAGAGTATATGCAAGAGTTAAGCCATTTTAGACAAAATACTATAATGTTATGCCCCGTGCACCAGTATCCTCCCCAATCTTTTCATCGAAATGATTTTCTTTTTAAATGAAAAGTATCCCAGAATTAACACAACTTGAACTTCTATCAAGGTATAGACCCTATAGCCTATAGGGAAAACTCTATAAGCACTGCATAAATAAAACTGCTAGTCTGCAACAGTGCAACCCCACGAAAGAAGAAAAACAATCACAGGAACTGAGGAAAAGGGACTACCCAGATCAGAGTGCCAGTGTATTGTCTGTAAAAGCTCCTGTCACGTTGCAACAAGCGCAGCATCCATCTAATAATATCAAGAAAAACATCTGAACCAGCAAACTTACCCCTCTATGTTCTCGAATTCCCAGGCTCAGAATTTAAGTAAGTCATTTTGCCAAAAATATGACGGCCATTTTCGTCTCCTCGAGATTTATGCCCTTCAGAGTTCGGTCTCCATTGACTACGACGAGTCATACAAGAACATGAAGATAGAGAATCTTTTGTGCTTCTCGCTCGAGAGCGAGAGGCAGCTCCCGACCAGATCTATCATACGCCAGGGAGAGGGAAAAAAGCAGGAAAAGGAAAGGCTCTAGCCCAAATCAGATCATTAACAAAAGTAAAGGGTAGAAAGCATAGCATCGCGGTCATCGCCGTTAAAATCCAACTAGACCGTCTTTTGTTTGCCTATAGGTGATCATTAAAGCTCTGCGTTTTAGGGCAGCACTCCCAGAATGCGCCATTGCAAAGCCCGAATGCTTATAGATATACGACCGAATGTCCAGACTGACTAGCTCATATAACAACTGAACTAAATCGATGTTAATATAATCAACAGAGCTAACAAACAAAGATGGGTTCTAAATGAGACGACATTCAGCTGCAGAAGTAATGTAGTTCTTTGAACCAATGGTTTAGCAAATGACTCAAAAAGAAACACCGAAACATAATTGTAAAACTGCAAGCTTCAACAATAGGAGCAGAAAGGAGGAGCGAGAAAAGTACCTTGCGATATGTAGTACCGTCAGGTTCAACAGTCCAACCAGCCTCGTTGCAGAGAGCCTTCAAGACCTCATTGTTGTCGCAGTGCTTGGGGAGTTTGTAGTTGCCGTACAATCTCAGACCAGCGAAGATCTTCGCCGCTATGGCTCTTCGCCTCCTCTCCCTCCTCTTGTTGTTTTCCCTCTCCCTCCAGGTCGGTAGCCTCGCACCAGACGTCATCTTTCTCGCCGAGAAAGTTCTCAGACGGAAAATGGGATAGGCAAGCGAACTGGAAGAGCGTAAATCGGAGGTATAAAAGCCAAAAATTTTATCGGCGGAAAATAATCAGAAATTGAAATACAAACGCTTCACGCGTCTGGATCGATGAATCAGTAATGGAAGAGATTGACCAAAAATTTCAAGTACAAACCACAAACCCTGCTATGGTCAGAAATTTTCATCAAAACGACATGATTCTGCAGCCGACGCACAGCTCACAAATTCACAACTCCAACACGAGGGAGCTGCAAATCGGAGCAACACAGAAACGGATGAAGGAGTTATATAGCTCAAATCGGTGGACTCCAGATCGGGAAGCAGATTTGGAGGCGGAGATCGTCGGAAATAAGCAAAACGACTGCGTTTGATGGGGGCAGAATCCAAGCGATGCAGATCTATGCGGATAGAATTCGGTGGATTGATCAAGATCGGAGAAGCATGTTTGCCGAGAAACTGATCGGAAAACAGGAAATAAAACTGATGAAAAAACCCGGGAAATGTGAAGGGAGCAGCAGAAAAATCATGATAGGTTGAAAAATGGAGAGATTTCTTCAGAGAACAGGAGGGATGGACTAATACAACCATGAAGTAAAATTAGCCATAATTGATGCTGAATTCACGATAATGCCATTGAAGCATCCGCTTCACCGCTTGTGTGAATCAATCAGATGGAGAGAGAGAGAGAGAGGATTGTGGCTCGAAGCGTGTGTGAGCTGTGACACTGTGACTAGACTACGTGCGAATTTTGACTGACCCAAATTCTCCTTCTAGTCTTCCACAGGCTTTGTATTAATTGATTATTTTCTTGAGCGAGTAGTTATAAAAGATGCATTTATAAAATAATAATAATAATTGTGCCTGCTCTTTGGTTGAGCGTCAATTTACATACATCATACATTAGATAGAGTTGACTACTCACTCAAGCTCTGCATCCTTAACTTATTAGAAAAGTAATTTTATTTTATTTTTTAACTAAAATTACTCTCATTATTTTAACTAGATCAAAGGAATTTCTAAGCATGAGGTTTTTGTTTGACTTGGAGGCAACCTAGCACAAAATTTAACTTGGTTAGTCATGTGTTTGTGTTTTAATGCTAAGCCTTTTTTTTTTTTGTTTGAACAAAAATGCTAAGCCTTATTTTAGATGGTAAATTTGTGGAAAAATTGCACTAACGGACCACTAGAGGAGGTTAATATCTCGACATCATTGAAAGATTTTGAATTATTACTATAAGATTAGATGATCAATTTAAAAATGACTTTATAATGACAATAATATTCATTTTATTCTTAAAATGTCCAACTTACAAAAGGCGCTAGCACTACAATAGTTGGAGGAGGGCGGATTTGTTTTTTAAGAAAAGGTATTATTGTAAATTTTTATACATTGTTAGTTTCAAATTCATCTTCTTCTTTTTTTCAATCCTATCCTTATAATTCAAAATTTTTTAATCCTTTTAAGATACTAACCTCTTCTAATAGTTCTTGAATGTGATTTTTGTTAAAACTTATTTCAATCTTAATGAACCACCTAATTTATCAGTTTTTTAAAATAAATAAAAACGGGAGCATAATCTTGATCAATGAATTTTATTTTTGATTATATTCTTTAATTTTTTAAAAAGGTATTATTGTAAATTCTTATACATTGTTAGTTTCAAATCCATCCTCTTTTTTCAATCCTACACTTATAATTCAAAATTTTGTAGTCCTTTTAGGATACTAACCTCTTCTAATAGTTCTTGAGTGTGATTTTTCTTAAAACTTATTTCAATCTTGATGAACCACCTAATTATTAATTTTTTAAAATAAATAAAAATGGGAGCATGATCTCGATCAGTGAATTTTATATTTGACTGTATTCTTTAGTTTTAAATATACAAACATAGGAGAGAGAAATCAAATTTAATATAAATTACTATGTGGTTGAACCAAAATCAAAACACTAGGCCTAGTTGTGATGATTCTTGAAGCATAAATAAATAAAAAAAATGCTCGACTCAATAGCAATCCAGCCTTGCTCAAATAGGTGAGACGATGTGCCTTGAGAGGAGACTTGAGGAAATCACATCCACTCCACCCACTCTATAAGATTCTCAACTCACTCACACTCATGTTGCTTCGCACGATGGAGCCCTCTTCACGAATCTAAAGGCACAAATAATTATTTGCTTCTACTAGCACCAAACTTAAATCTAAAAAGAAGTATGTTGTTGCCGTATATTATAAATTGGCAACGAGCATGAAATTCAAGGCTTTTTGACACTTTGTCAAATTTACACCAAACTTACCCTATTTAATTACTCAATTATTAACTATGTGTCGTCGTCAATCTTGTCCTGTGCAACTTAGTCTCCTTGTGCAAACTTAGCTTTCTATGCTAATTTCCTAAACTTGCCTACTTTCTCGTATTCACAGTGCACTTCATTGTACTCACCTTTTCAAATAATGTTATCAAACTTTAAGTTCATTCACAGTGCACCCATTATTATTCTCCCAAGTCACTTGAAACTTTAAAAAAATTATGATAAAAGATTTTAAAAATTTATTTTAATCGTTTCATTTCAACTCACTCTTATGAGGACATTCTCATTTCACATGTCTAGCACACTTGAACATCAAAAAATTGGGCTAAAACTATGTTTATCAAGATTTTTAATTAAACAAAGTATTATATAAAAAACAGCTCAAGTTGAACTATTAGTGAAGCAAATTTAGTTGTGAAATGTTTGCCTTCTATCTCTCTGTTTTGATTTAAAAAAAAATGCTTCCAATATCTTAAAAACATAAAAATATGAAAAACTTTATATATTTCTCCCCTAAATGATTAAGCCGAATATTCACATATCATAACAATTCAAACGAATAGGATTGGTGGCAAAACGAGAATTGCAAGTTTTGACATACGACAGTGAATTGGTGATAGAGACCTAAAGCCTGAAAGAATGCGATTGAGACGAAAGGCCCCGTCATTTTCTATCTACAAAGCACGCTTGTTTGACCAATTTATGACTTGATAGTGATACTTTGAATTGGCTGTTCCAAGTCTGTGAACGTAGGGATATGTTGGAATTTTAACATGTGGCTTCTTAATATTCAATTTTAATTATTTTTTAAATTATAAATAATGCTACTTATTTTAGATGTCATGTATTGGATGATTTCATTGTATAGTCTCATCGGCTTACCTTCTTATGATATTTATTGTTATCATAACATCATATTTGCTAAATTTATTAAAATCATTGTTAGAATTATACTAAAACCTAAAGTTCACCAATGAAATAAATTATTTTTTATCTAAGAGTGTTATTTAAATATTTTGGAATATATTTGATTGGATTCAGATTAATGTTTAGAAATATTTACAAGGTCATTATACAATTTTAAATTTCTATGATTATATTTTTTAAAATATAGATAAGTTTTGTGGCCTGATTAAAAGAATTAAATAAATGGGATTACTTTCATTCATATGCTTTGGCCTCATCAACTTTTTCCCATCTACTCATTAATCAACAATTATAATAATTCAATATCCTCCAATTACATATCTGATATTTCCTTCACATTTATTTAAATTTTATTCAAGAAATGCCATAACTAAACACGAAATCACAAATATAAAAAACTCATATAAATAGAAAAGAAAAAAATAAGATAGATTTTTAAGTATTTTTTTAATGATATTTTATTTACCCAAAAAAAAGTGCAAACGAGAATCATATATATAATCTATAACAGTCGATAATAAAACATGCATATCTCAATTAATATCTTGTTGATTTTAGATAAAACAAGAAAACCAATCATTATCTTAAAGCACATATTTATTTATCTTAAAAATTAAACTTGATAATTGTATAGATAACTTCATATATAGAAACCATTAGGCTTATAAATAGTAATGATTGAAGCAGTCTCAAGTCAAACAAAGTTGACTAGAGTTTCAAACATGAGTTCTCCTCCAAAGTTAGTGTCATTGAAGGATTTGATGCATCCCTTGCGTCCAAGGAACAGCCGACAAATACCTCTTAGTAAAATACCAAAATATGTGAAGGCTAAGGATGAGATTTATGATGACAATGGGAAAAGAGTTTATTGGCGATGCAAAACAATGAAGGAAGATGAAGACGACGATGACGATTCAGAATATTATGTCACTCCATACATATCTTGTTTTGATTTTTGTGACCAGTTCTGCATCAGACCTATCAGATTGTTGGTGGACAAGCTTTTTGGGCAGATCTTCAATTTGCCAAGGCCTGAGTATGACCATTGAATCAATCAAAGTGTTTGTAATTATTTATGACTTTATTTTTTTGACCAGCATTATGACTTTAGCTAATCATTTGGTAGCGTCGATATACAATTCGATCCAATTCTTTTTTATTCTTTTTTTCATTTATCCTAGAATATTCCAATTCTTTCTAATTGGTTTAATTTGATGGAATATTAATATTTTTCATAGCCATTTGACTAAAAGTTGGCTTGCCATTTGGATGTTAACAGTTCTTATATTTTGTATCAAACATTAGAAGTTAACTCGAATTGCATATAGTATTTACCGTGACAGGTTTTGTATCATAAAAGCATGTTTCTTTGTG